TACAGGACATGTTTACATGTAGTGGTATACACAGACATACAGGACATGAAGACATATTGTGGTATACACAGACATACAGGACATGTTTTCATGTAGTGGTATACACAGACATACAGGACATGTTTACATGTAGTGGTATACACGGAGATACAGGACATGTTTACATGTAGTGGTATACACAGAGATACAGGACATGTGGACATGTAGTGGTATACACAGACATACAGGACATGTACACATGCATTGACAGTAGACATACAGGACATGTAGACATGTAGTGGTATTCACAGGCATACAGGACTTGTATACATGTAGAGGTATACACAGACATACAGGACATGTTTACATGTCGTGGAATACACAGACATACAGGACATGTACACATGCATTGACAGCAGACATACAGGACACGTATATATGTAGTGGTATACACAGACATACAGGACATGTATATATGTAGTGGTATACATAGAGATACAGGACATGAAGGCATGTAGTGGTATACACAGACATACAGGACATGTTTACATGTAGTGGTATAAACAGAGATACAGGACATGTTTATATGTAGTGGTATACACAGACATACAGGACATGTAGACATGTAGTGGTATACACAGAGATACAGGACATCTTTATATGTAGTGGTATACACAGACGTACAGGACATGTTTACATGTAGTGGTATACACAGACATACAGGACATGTTTACATGTAGTGGTATACACAGAGATACAGGACATGTTTACATGTAGTGGTATACACAGAGATACAGGACATGTGTACATGTAGTGGTATACACAGACATACAGGACATGAAGACATATAGTGCTATACACAGACATACAGGACATGTTTACATGTAGTGATATACACAGACATACAGGACATGTTTACATGTAGTGGTATACACAGAGATACAGGACATGTTTACATGTAGTGGTATACACAGACATACAGGACATGTTTACATGTAGTGGTATACACAGACATACAGGACATGTATACATGTAGTGACAGCAGAGATACAGGACATGTAGACATGAAGTGGTATACACAGACATACAGGACATGTATACATGTAGTGACAGCAGAGATACAGGACGTGTAGACATGTAGTGGTATACACAGACATACAGGACATGTATACATGTAGTGGTATACATAGAGATACAGGACATGTTTACATGTAGTGACAGCAGAGATACACGACATGTAGACATGAAGTGGTATACACAGACATACAGGACATGTATACATGTAGTGGTATACACAGACATACAGGACACGTTTACATGTAGTGGTATACACAGACATACAGGCCATGTATATATGTAGTGGTATACACAGAGATACAGGACATGTTTACATGTAGTGGTATACACAGACATACAGGACATGTTTACATGTAGTGGTATACACAGAGATACAGGACATGTTTACATGTAGTGGTATACACAGACATACAGGACATGTTTACATGTAGTGGTATACACAGACATACAGGACATGTTTACATGTAGTGGTATACACAGAGATACAGGACATGAAGACATGTAGTGGTATACACAGAGATACAGGACATGTTTACATATAGTGGTATACACAGAGATACAGGACATGTTTACATGTAGTGGTATACACAGACATACAGGACATGAAGACATATAGTGGTATACACAGACATACAGGACATGTTTTCATGTAGTGGTATACACAGACATACAGGACATGTTTACATGTAGTGGTATACACGGAGATACAGGACATGTTTACATGTAGTGGTATACACAGACATGCAGGACATGTTTACATGTAGTGGTATACACAGACATATAGGGCATGTTTACATGTAGTGGTATACACAGAGATACAGGACATGTTTACATGTAGTGGTATACACAGAGATACAGGACATGTGGACATGTAGTGGTATACACAGACATACAGGACATGTTTACATGTAGTGGTATACACAGAGATACAGGACATGTTTACATGTAGTGGTATACACAGAGATACAGGACATGTTTATATGTAGTGGTATACACAGAGATACAGGACATGTGGACATGTAGTGGTATACACAGATATACAGGACATGTTTACATGTAGTGGTATACACAGAGATACAGGACATGTTTATATGTAGTGGTATACACAGACATACAGGACATGTGGACATGTAGTGGTATACACAGACATACAGGACATGTTTACATGTAGTGGTATACACGGACATACAGGACATGTTTACATGTAGTGGTATACACAGAGATACAGGACATGTTTACATGTAGTGGTATACACAGACATACAGGACATGAAGACATGTAGTGGTAAACAGAGAGATACAGGACATGTTTACATGTAGTGGTATACACAGAGATACAGGACATGTTTACATGTAGTGGTATACACAGAGATACAGGACATGTTTACATGTAGTGGTATACATAGAGATACAGGACATGTTTACATGTAGTGGTATACACAGAGATACAGGACATGTTTACATGTAGTGGTATACACAGACATACAGGACATGTTTACATGTAGTGGTATACACAGACATACAGGACATGCATGCAGTAACACTGACGACACAGATATGCAGGTTAATGATAGTTTCAATGTCCTCAGGCACCATTTACATTATACATCAGGGCAGAGTGGGGCAGTGAACTCGTCCTGCCGATTTCCGAGTTAAATTAAACTCTAAACCATCAGCTCAGAACGTTATTATAATCATAAGGCGCGTTTTACCAGATGCCCGAAGCTAATGACGTAATGATGTTGTTTATCTAACGTCCACAGACTTGATGTTGATGAACAGGGGAAAAACACTACATGGAAAGGTTATCTGTTTGTATCGAAAAAGTCCTAGTAGTTTAGTATAGAATATATGAAGGACTGCCTTCTGCCCCAGGTATTCTATTTCCGCGTTTCGACTGTCCAACTATGTATACATAACAAGAGAACGATTAAAAGTTATCACGAACCAACGAGGAAAAAATGTTTTTCCTAGATAAGGTACATAAAATGGAGTTTAATGTAAATGGCATTATGAATATTCACCTCATAATAATGATTTAGATTATATTCACTGTAACAGCAGACCCGTGAAGATCAGGGGTAGAATAGGTCTTCAGCAACCCATGCTTACCGTAAGAGGCGACTAAACGACCTGGTGGTCAGGTTCGCTGACATGGTTGATACATGTCATCGTATCCCAGTTGCGTAGATCGATCCTAATGATGTCAATCACTGGATAGCCTGGTCCAGACTCGATTGTTTACAGACCACCGTCATATAGGTGGAATATTGCTGAGTGGGGCGTTAAACAACAAACAAACACTGTGACAGCAGATGTTCACAATGCAACCCATTAATGTGAGAAGCAAACTACATACACAACCACAGAAGCATCCCAATTCAACACTCTGTCGCCTCCAGCAAATACCGACAATTGGATCTTGGCACTACCATATTTCACAATAACTTTATTTTCCTTGTATTTAACCAATACATAGTTAACTGTTTCTCTCTGCATATAACTGAGTTAGTTATTCACAGTTTTTCTTCGTTAATTAATACAAGTTGGATATTTGTGTGGTTAATGTTTCCACCAAACCATGCCAGTTTCAATTTCCCTCCAAATGTCGCGCAAGGACTGTGAAGCTGTGGTCGTGTTTTAATACCTAAGTGTTCCCCGAGAAGGAAAATAGATACGCTAGTTCCTCCTAGATGTGTACCTATAAGTCATATTACTGTAACAATGCCTAGATGAACAAACAATGTCAATCAAAATCGATTATGGAATTTGCTTCCTCTTCCTTACACCTGATTCCCGAGCTGTAAGCTTGTGCCTCGATCGAAACTCGAGCTGTCTGAACGCTTGGTCGGGATTTTCTCCCTTGCAGCAGCCAGCTTGTTCCCGTGTCGTAAATATACACAGTGTAACTGATTCCACTGACTTAGTTACATTGTTTGGGATTAATTGTACCAACATATTGCACATACAGGACATGATGTAGGCTCAACATGGGTAGCCACTCGCGAGGGAGTACTGAAACTGTCACATTCCTTTCTGTCCTTCAACGATAGAAGTAGAACTCCTACGCGAGTAAGAAGTGTTTTCGCTGTACCTATGTTCTTGTTTCAGGTGGACGTAAATCTACATTATGTTCAACAATGAAGCTTAAATCTATGGGAAATGAAAGTGATATCCAATATATTTAGTTTTATACACAAAACAAAAAGTAACAATTAAAAACTCATTTAAAACATGATGTAATATCTGTTGTAACGTCTTACTGGAACGATTGGTTCACTAAACACATACGAGGGGCGTTCGATAAGTATATAAGACCAAGTCGCAGACTAACTTTTGCATGAACATGTAAAGAACTGCGTACACTGTTCGTGGATAAACCAGTCATAGATTTAAACGACATTTATAAAAGACGCTATATTTAAAAAATGAAGTTTTTCGCCTTAAAAGACAAAACGAGGGTCAGCATTGCGCGCAAACAGCACAACTATTGGCGGCAGCATGTTGTTTCGGTAGTCCTGTCCTGTGACCCTTCCATGGTCAGTGTGCAGTGGCGCGGACAGCGTTAGCTCGTGAAGATTAAAAGATTCACTATATTTAAAAAAAGAAGTTTAAATCTATGTCTGGTTTATCCACGAACAGTGTACACAACAATTCTATACATGTACATGCATGTATGTATGAAATAACTAGTTGGAGAAACAGAGAACATCATACCCAATACTTACTTTCTCCTTGAAACTACAAAAAGTTGATTAATCACGCGTATTGGCCTTTCTTCCACAATGTCATGACATAATACTTATCACGACAGTTTCGCCATGACACCGAGGACCATGTTCGTTTATGAGGACATAAGATAATCGGTCGATGAATAGTCCATATTAACGCAGTTTGAGTATAATGACAGGGACGCCCAAGAAACATGCTGAGATGGATACTTACACTATTGTCCCTCGTTTTCTTCGTGTGACAAGGATGCGCCATGTCCCTGCATCTGCTCAAATAGCTGCCTCTGAAACAGGTGAGGCTGTTATTACTGTCTAACTTATTTACACAGTTAAACTAGTTGACGTGTAGGTAAGTATGTGTAGAAAGTTGCACGCTAACGCGATAGATGGAACCAAGTATATCTTAACCAATTTATTGGAAGAATATGAAGAAGACATGAAACGTTTTTGGATAACAACTTCTTTATTCATTGTAACTACGTTTCGGGGTACTGCTGTCACAAGTTCTTTCGTTACACTGCTCACAAACTCCCGAAGAACGTTGGGGATATACGACAATAACAGATGATTACATACATTAAAAGAGGTATTGAGTGATTTTAATGGTTGGACAAGAACAAGGAAGGACCCGGTGTAACATAACAGTAATAAAAAAATGTTGGTGCGGTGTATTGTATGGTGCAAACAACAACAAAAAGTGACAGGGGTATGTAGCGAAAAAATGAACGTTTGCCATGACTTGATCAATAATGGGCCATGCCTTCAACGATTGGTCAAACATTCGTTTATACGGCGTGGCATGGTCCGAATCAATCTCCTAATGACAACTGAGGGAGTCTTGTCAATCCCTCTTGAACCGCCTCGCTCAGTTCGACTATCATAGCTGGTGGCCATTGACGTCGGCGTACACGTCCCAGTCATGTTCTAAAGAGGAAAGTTCAGGACTCACTGCTGGCCATTGTATTCTGGTGATGTTTTGCTGTTGGAGGGAATCACATACGATGCTTGCACGGTGGGCTAGACCATTATCGTCTTGAAAGAAAAAAAACGAGGGTCAGCATTGCGTGCAAACAGCACAACAATTGGCGGCAGCATGTTGTTTCGGTAGTACTGTCCTGTGACCCTTCCATGGTCAGTGTGCAGTGGCGCGGTGGGGTAGCCTCGTGCTTACAGCGTTAGCTCGTCACGCAGAATACCCGGGTTCCATTCCCGACATGGGCAACATGTGTGAAGCCCATTTCTGGTGTCCCCCGCGTGATGTTGCAGGAGAATTGCTAAAAGCAACGTAAAACCATACTCAATATCCAGTGGCGTTCTGGCGATCATAGTGAAACCGCCCCATAACATGACAGAGCAACTCCCAAACCTGTTATGTTGCCTTACATTGAGATTGCCATAACGTTCGTTAGGACGCCTCCAGACACATCCACGACTATTCAGAAAGACTAGAGTGAGAATGTCTACGCTCTAAACGCCACTGGTGTTTGCCAAGAATGTGTCGATTTGCCACGTGACTTGCATATTAGCTGCATGCAGGTCAGTTACTTGGACCCCGGTGGCCTGGTGCGCGTGAAAAGCGATTTGATTTTTTAAAGTCTGGTTTTTGATTAATCGATCCGAGACTTATGTTCTTGTTCTAGAGCACCCCGTGCTTGGCAGACCATCTTGTGACACAATGAACATATTGGCTACCTCTCGCTAAGTTCTATCAGTTTGAAGCATGCCAACAGACATTACAGACAATACATTCCCAGTCTGACTACAAATACTGCATTAAAGCAAGCATAGAGAAATTACATGTTACAGTAGATAATGGCTCAGAGCAATTTGACGACCATTCGCTGAAGTGTCAAAATCAAGTATGACCCCATTCCTAAGCATACGGAGGAATTGCATGGTCCGCGTGCAATGTTATGGGTGTGTTGGGGCGTTAGGGTATGGTTCCGAAACCATTCTATCTCTGGCAGATATGTTTCCAAGCTGATCTTCTGACGACCGATCATAACAGTCCTATTTCACGATGCCCTGCTGTACACAAAGACACATTACTTCTACCATACACCTAGCTCTCTGGATACCGATGTAATGTGATAACCGTTACAATGTGTCCTCCAACGCCGAGGCTGATATAATCATCAAGCTTGTATTGGTTCATTGTCGCATGTCTGTATTTGAGAACAGAAAGTGTCAAAGTGAAGGCCTCATGTGTTCACTGCAAGTATTGTGCTGACACACTAATGGTTATAACAGGACAAAATTGGGATTCGAGGCCGAGGTGATAAATTCGTGGCACGCCTGTAAGCCACACACATCTGCACAGGGCAACTGGTCGCGAGTTAGCCGGCTGGAGCACCACACAGGAATTCCACACACACTTTTACAAAAGGAGTGTGTGTATATGTACTGATTGTAATGTGAAGCTAAACTTTATCTGATAGTCCTAGTCTACCAATAGTATAATAGTGATAGTCACCTTTGTCTGTAACCCTTTGTAACTAATACTAAAACTGCCATGTTGCCTGTTGTCCCCAAATGCTCTCCACTATGTTGTGTGAAAACATGTCAGTAATACGATCCCTGTTCACACAACAATACACGCCTAGATATACCAGGCGCGTTTCAGCAAAACGACAAAATTTATATTTATAATAAGAGTGGAAAAACGTCTTTTCATATAAATTATTTATGCCTCGTACATGTTGTCCGTAAGACTGACTGACAACGATCAATTACATAAGAATGAGTAAAACAGCCATAAATAGTAAGTAAACACTTTAAATAGCCAGCTCTTGTGTCGTGTTGCTTGTTGTCGACCTCATCATCGTGTACACAGTTCTCGGACATCGTCTGCTCTTCGTAAGGGATTGTTGTCTTTACTTCGTAAGGGATTATTGTCTTTACTTCGTAAGGGATTATTGTCTTTACTTCGTTGAACCTACAACAAAACATTTTATGTACTTGTTACATTTTATTTGATAAATAAAAAATAAAAATTTGGGTGGACTAACAACTGTTTCCCAATATCCACCATAATGTTCCGCCATGAACTTTTGTAAGTCACATTGTCTGAACTGACAGAATTTCCTTTTGACTGAATGGTAATAATAATCCTTGTCCTATTCAAAAGCGCGCTCTATCAGGCAACATATCACAGTTCCTGGTAGCATTGTTATACAATGTGATTCTAAAATAGAGTATCAGTATGTCTAGATTTTACAGGAACACGTGAATATATAGTGGCCTAAAACATATTTCAAAATCAGACAGGGATTATATGAGCGACTTCAATGAGTGAACATTTAACGTCGCATTAGCAATGACTGTTTCAGCTCTATTGCCAAGGAGTTCTTACAACCATTTGGAGGCTATGTATTGCAGCTTCACATACTTTCATTTTATTGGTTTCTAAATTTCAGAAAAGAAGATTTGGAAATGCAATATGCATGGTGCTAGATTAATAGATCTAGTGTCACATCTGAAGGTCAAACGTCATCACGGGTATAACAACGTACACAGCATTAATATAGATAATCGCGCAAATCACAACGTACTGCTTATCACAAACAACACATGATACATGAATGAATGGCTGGTCATAAGCAATGATTAGGAGTTTTGGCAGCCATCTTGAAATATTTATATCAGGAGTGAGTGAGTTGGGTTTAACGTCGCTTTGAACAGTATTACAGTTATATCACGGCGTGTCAGCGTCATGTGGGAGGAAAGCCCGAAGTGATGCAGGTCTCAGACGTTTACCACTTCGGTAAAACCGGCGACCACGGGTATGGTGCTGACGAACCTAGGAACATAACTGGGGCGACCCGAGATTATAATCCACAATCTTAGGTTTCTGTTTTGCCCAACGGTCGCAGCCCTGGACAGCGAATTCCTGGGTCAGCCCCGGTCATAGGAGGATCTTATTATTTGGGTCATCCATCGCAGTTGATGTTGATTTCAGAATGGATGCTGATAACGATAAACGTCTTAAACCAACCGCCATAATCGAACATTATCAAGCACTAAAAACAATATATCTCACAGGGATGAGCACATTGTCCGTGAAGCAAAACACATAAATTGTAAAGATGGACACGCGACTCCGAGTAACAGTTTTAACTGTTTTATATGTATTAATATATGTTCAGTAGATAGATGGCGTTTTTTTCTTTTCTTACGTTTATTTCTTATTTTTAAATTTTGGAGGGTGGAATGGGGATGGGTATATTGTCAGTGATGTGGATATACTGAAGGGAAAATATCACAGTTCATTCAAAATTATCAGCATTTCCTTCAAGACAAAACTTATATTGCTTTGTAAATCCTAAAAAAGTATCCTTTCGCACCCTAATTCTAGTGGCCTTGTGCTTCTGTTGTCACAGACGCTCCCGTGTAGTAAAGGCGGAACTAAAGACATAACGAGCAAGTAAGTGTGTTGACAGGCGCGTGTGCTCGGGGATTCCCCAGAGGAGACACTCTCCTCCCGATTGGCTGTGGTGTCCAGGGGACGCGAGAGTATAGTAACAAGGTAGTGGAGGCATCTACCCGACAGTACAGCCCACTTTAAACCCACGTGAAATATGTATATGGATGACATCATCAGGTTTATCATGACATTAAACCACACAGCCACTCCTTTACAGGCAACATAGTAGGAGTAAATTACCAAAGACGTTTAATTAAGTTTAATTAAGAGCCAAATGGATCTGTCATATACATTACACATCACAGATCCCTTGAATGTAGAATGTCTTGTTCTTGAACTTGTGAATATACGAACGGTTCCTAACATCGTCCACACCAAATGTCTTAACTCGCCAAACCGAAACCTGCATCAGCTCGTATGCTTTGCCTTGAATTATGACAGTGTGGACAATATTCTGGGAACTCATTCGTTGTTCTGTTGATAATGAATTTTAACGTTGGACAAATGAGTCCAGATTTACAAATATCTAAATCAATCATAACATTACCTCTTCCGTATTCCCAACAGACAATATAAAAATACAAATCATATATATTATCTTAACAGCCTATCAAATTAAACAGCCTTAATTTCACAATATTCAGTTGATTATGATCATTTCCCCACAACATTGCTCTCAATCGTTAAGATTAAATCATGTTGCTTCTATTACTTCAAAATTAATAATGGAGTTAATATCATGTTATTCTTCATCAGTGAACATAACTAGTGTTCAGTAGCCCCAGAGCTCCCCGAGAAGGCAGCTTCCAAGCAGGTTGCATGTACCTATGCAGTGATCAAAGAGAAAGCATCTCTTTTTAGTGTTTTTCAATGCTTCTTTGGAATTCCTGTATTCTCTGAAACACACACGCTTTCAAATGTCATTCCCGGAAAACTACAAATCGAAACGGCAGTTAACTGAAATCATTTGACCCCTATTTCGATAATGCGTCGTCAACATGACCTAGTCATTGGCAGTTCCGATACGCATAGCCACTCCACCTTCAGGCCACCGCAGTGTTTAGAGTCGCTTGCAGTTGTGTGCAAAAGTTGATCTCAAAAGAAAAAAGCCAAACCCCTTAGCCAATATAACTTACGTTCAATAAATAGTTAGTCTCAATAGCTTAGTAGTTTTAAAGAAGTATGAACAATTCGTGTAGAATGTTTGTATGCATTTGTTTATTGCGTAATGATGATATTTTTGCTGGATGCATTAGTCCCAACTATATAACATCCATGGGGGCAGTAAGAGCAACACGGTTACGTTGGACCGTCTACAATAGTTAAAGTCTCTTCACATCTTTGTAAAGCCTTGAAGCAACGCTCTGTAAAATGAAAGTCCAATGACAAATGTATTCGACGCATAAATAAACTCTTGGTCTTGCTAATGGTACTTGACTCATTCACCTGAAACAGTGCTAGTAATCCTATTTATTTCTATGTTCCAATTACATGGGTTTTCCATTTAGTCAAGTGATTATAAACCACAACAAAGGATGTAGGTAAACATGGGTATTACGTATATCTAGCCTGGACCCAGCTCCTATGACGAGTTAATAACATTGCTAATTTGAATAAGAAATGTTAAGTAGCTGCAGGGTAAAACACCTTTCTTGTTTATGAATTAATACCAAAACAGAAATTCCGATTCGTTTATATGAACATTATTCTGACTTGCAAGTGAATACTTTGAAAACATGCATGCATAATTGTCCCGATAAGATATGATTATTTCGTACATTTCGATGGAGCTGACATGAGATTGCTGCTGCACTGACTCTGGCAGGTGCACCCAAATAACCCACACGCCATTTCCCTCTTATCTGGTGAATAGAAATGAAAACCAAAACATTAAGGCCTCGCGCTAAACCATTGTGCTCAAAATAAACATAACAGCAAGATTGAATGGTTTTATCATGGTTATCGTTCTGAAGAGATTTTGAAGAGGAGCGGTTGAATTGGACAAGCTGCACCTGTGCCGCGGTGTAGAATCACACTGTTGCTCTCACAACCAGCACAAATCTGGGTAACAGTAAACACGGGTGTCGTAGCATTGCTCCCATAATAGTACAATTGCTCTATGGAGAACGACTCACTGCAAAACGTCAGTATAAACAATGTATGGTTTTATCATGTTTCCCTATTCAGCTATAACCTCACTCAAATTTCCTACGAGTCTCTGATTATTAGTTTAACTTCCCTGTTGTGCACGAGACGGTATGCTTTCCATGCTTCTCATTGTACTCCTTATACTCCTTATCAGGGTGATTCACGCTGACTCAAAGTTGTTGACATATCGATGAATTTGACAGGTGTGTGATATAGTATCTTTATGTAAATAGCCTCATTACAAATGTTAGAATAGGACAATATAGCAGTGCATTTGCTAGCCACGATCATGACGTCACTACATTATCTCGAAACGTGATCTCCTGTGTCAATCTAGGTCCAGCCCAGCATAACAGGATCAGCCGTTTGTAGCGTTAGCCCTACCCCGATCTACAAACGATGCATTGTAAAAGACACATTGCACAAAATGCCATCAAATACAAACACACACTCCAAATATATAACTTTCACTGTACTGTACACCCCACGGGCTCGTTATTAATAAAACTTTTCGACCTCCATCTTGGAAGGTGTACCTCCGGGGACACACATCCTCGTGAGGACAGCTATCAGCATCATGTCAACGTCTGCCACTGCAGCATTCACACCAGAAAGGGTTTATCTGTTTGCAAGGTCAGGCAAAAGCTACTCACATTGAAATCCCCGGAGTCGGGCCACCTGTCGCTGTTCTTGACAAGACCATATACAGTCACGTGATCTGAAGGGAACACCCCACATGCTTGGCAACCGTACCATGCACAACAACGCATGTCTTTGAGGGACGTTTATATCATGTTGGTGTTCAGGGCTTTTACAACCCTCTGCGTCTGTGATATTTTAGTGAAAATTCATGAAATAATGCGAGCAACTCTTGTCCGCATTAAGAAAGTAACGCATATTTCCCTGGACATGCTGGGGTCATTGTCACGTCGGGTGCACTGCACATGTCGGAAACAATGACACAAATCACACAACAAAGATCCCAATAATCTATAAAATAATATTTAAAACCAAATCCGTTTCACATAGCCACACATGGCTGAGTGAATAATAATAATAATATTTTATTGAAGTATCACATTGTAAAAAATAAGTATGACAATAAAAGATGCATAAAAAATATACAATGTCAGGCTGTGTGGCATATAAACAGCACACATACAAATGTGCCTACAAAGTATACCATGTCAGGCTGTGTGGCATATATACAGCACACATACAAATGTGCCTACAAAGTATACCATGTCAGGCTGTGTGGCATATATACAGCACACATACAAATATGCCTACAAAGTATACCATGTCAGGCTGTGTGGCATATATACAGCACACATACAAATATGCCTACAAAGTATACCATGTCAGGCTGTGTGGCATATATACAGCACACATACAAATATGCCTACAAAGTATACCATGTCAGGCTGTGTGGCATATATACAGCACACATACAAATATGCCTACAAAGTATACCATGTCAGGCTGTATGGCATATATACAGCACACATACAAATAAGCCTACAAAGTATACCATGTCAGGCTGTGTGGCATATATACGTATGGCATATATACAGCACACATACAAATATGCCTACAAAGTATACCATGTCAGGCTGTATGGCATATATACAGAACATATACAAATATGCACAAAGAGATGCATATATAGTTTAAAATATAAATTCCCTTAATCAATCGATGTTGGGCTTCCGGTACCAACAGCAGAATGCCTCGAATTAAATGATTTCGCTCGTCGACAGGGGCCATATGGTTAGGATCATAGTTAATTCCGCAGTTGAGGTGTATCGCTGGTTATGGGGCGGGAACGCCACATATAAATAGCAGACAGTCCCGGGACGCCGAAAACATTATTTGAGGGATTCTTTTGTCGATACCGCGAGCGCCACATCGATGGATTAACTGTAAATGCGTACCTTTTTATTAAATAAACTAGGCATACAGAAACTACAAAGGCGTTTTATGATATAAATATGTTATTCAGACATGTTGTAAACAAATACAATGCACGAAACAAAAATATAATTAATTTTAACAGATCACGTAATTCTATGCTTGGAGTCTTTGACTTTGGAGGTAACTTTATATATCACGTGTTGTGTCACGTGACTCAAACCAGACTCTTCTTTTGAAACCGAGGTGAGGTTAAAAGGGGTGCGGTCCCCAGAGATTGGGAGCATAAAAGAACATAACTATAACTATATGATGTAAACGATGCTTAATGGCGAAAACGTAATTGTTTACGCAGACTTGTATGTTATTAAACCTTCTCGCTTTGCGTAAGAGTCTAATAGTCCAATACCATGTAGAATATATGGTAAATACATTCCTTAGATACAGAACACCGACTTGACATGACTGAGGTTATGTAAAAGTACAAATGTTTTCTTCATATTAATGCTGAAGAAATATACAAATTCAATCAATTATTTACTCTAAATGATGTGATTGTTAAGTTTTGTGATTTACAGAAATGCCTGAAAACAAAAGAAAACTATTTATTTATTTATTTACTTACTTACTTCGCCAGACATTCACGTTTTAATATTTTAGCATAATTATATCCTGAAGCCTCCACCAAGTTAATGACAGGCTTATGCAATTTTGTATGTTGTACTTAATAGTTTAGTTGCTTTTAAATTCAATTTAAAGGACAAACATGGGTTGATAAAGACTAAATTTAGCCCAGATCTTCACGTGTGTGAGTGTGGTGGGGAGGGCGGTGGGACAAGCATGTGTTGTTGAAGACCAATTCTAGCTCAGATCCTCACGGGGAGACAAGCACGGGTTGATAAAGAACAATTCTAACCCAGATCCTAACAGAGCAGACACGCATACGTGCTGAAGAACAGTTCTAACCCAGATCTTCACGCGGCGAGACAAGCACGGGTTGATTAAGAACAATTCTAACCCAGATCCTAACAGGGCAGACAAGTACACGTTGTTGAAGAACAGTTCTAACCAAGATCTTCAAGGGGATAGACAAGCATGGGTTGCTGAAGACCAATTCTAAACCGGCTTTGCTCTCTTGTTGCATTGACAAAGTTGCTGCTCCGTCGCACGTCGGTGTTTTGCATACAGCCATGGGACTGAGAAAGGAGGATCCTAATGGGCCAATGTTTTCGACCCATAACCACAGTAGGGTCATAATCCTAAACAGAGGATACATGAGGAAAAAAGAATTTATCTGTTTACAACATAGCTGTCGCCTCTTACAAAAGATTTATTGAGGCACCACGCCAAGCTAACAGTCGAACTCCCATTTTCCCATCTGAACACAATGACTATTACCATAGCTTATCAATATTTGGCCATCAATTTACAATCTATGTTGTTCTGTTGATATGCTTCCTTTTCTTGCTTCAGCCAACCAGTTTCGATTTCCGCAAGGTTGATAAAAGTAGTCGTTGACATGAAGTGTCGAACTGTACAAAGGTAACCACAGTCCAACACACAAAAGCATTTTGATGTATCCGTGGCGTCACATATTCCTCAGAAAGATAACTACTTCTCGTGGATAAACGTGAGCGCAGGCTTCTAATGTTTACCTGATTTCGCGTCCTGAGTGATAAACCAGTTCACAGAATGTCCACGCGATCGACATAACACGCGAAGCATACTGTAAAGGGGTGACACACTGAACCCGTTTACTGATATTGCCATTCACCCTACACTCAGTAAGACAGCTTCAAGGGGCACGGCCTCGTGCCCATTTCCAGCCTCGGTCTCAATGTCGCAGTTGGTGCTCTGAATGAAAATGAGTTATTGTCGCAGTGTGATTACTGTATTCATCAACTGGTAGATCTGTATCATAGATTTTGACTCGTAACAGATTATCAAAGTGAGGGATATGAATCCAACTTGCTAGAACTGCCAATTTAACCAAGCGTAAACCCACGTTATCTTCGCTTGAGACGTCTCTTACACCAAGGAGTGCTTATTTTATTATGTTACCGAAAATATAAAAGCTTGGTAGGTAAAATAATATATAATTACATGACAAAACCAAAATATCTTGCGCTCGGCATTAAGGGGCTTAAACAAGGACGGGTCGGCTCGGAGTCAGTATACTGTGTCTGAGTGGGGTATTCATGTTAAACTGCGGCATGGTATCTCAGTGTGCTAGCACTTTAAATCGGCATCAGTTCGGACTAGTACAAGCAGCCACACACACACACACATACACGTAGTTGTCTGAAGAAGTAGCATATAGCAGTAGTATAGAGGAAGAAGTTGACTGTAGAAGTAGCATATAACAGTAGTATAGAGGAAGAAGTTGACTGTAGAAGTAGTATATAGCAGTAGTATAGAGGAAGTAGTTGTCTGAAGAAGTAGCATATAGCAGTAGTATAGAGGACGTAGTTGTCTGAAGAAGTAGCATATAACAGTAGTATAGAGGAAGAAGTTGACTGTAGAAGTAGTATATAGCAGTAGTATAGAGGAAGTAGTTGTCTGAAGAAGTAGCATATAGCAGTAGTTTAGAGGACGTAGTTGTCTGAAGAAGTAGCATATAGCAGTAGTATAGAGGACGTAGTTGTCTGAAGAAGTAGCATATAGCAGTAGTATGGAGGACGTAGTTGTCTGAAGAAGTAGCACATAGCAGTAGCATAGAGGAAGTAGTTGACTGTAGAAGTAGCATATAGCAGTAGTATAGAGGACGTAGTTGTCTGAAGAAGTAGCACATAACAGTAGTATAGAGGAAGAAGTTGACTGTAGAAGTAGTATATAGCAGTAGTATAGAGGACGTAATTGTCTGAAGAAGTTGACTGTAGCAGTAGTATAGAGGACGTAGTTGTCTGAAGAAGTAGCATATAGCAGTAGTATAGAGGAAGTAGCTGTCTGAAGAAGTAGCATATAGCAGTAGTATAGATGACGTAAAGGAATGTAGAAGTAGAATGTAGCAGTAGCATAGAGGAAGAAGTTCAATGTGGAAGTAGCATATTAAAGTAGTACAGACTAAGGAGTTGACTGTAGAAATAGCATATAACAGCAGTATAGGGGAAGAAGTTGAATGTAGAAGTAGTATATAGCAGTAGTATAGAGGACGTAGTTGTCTGAAGAAAGAGCATATAGCAGTAGTATAGAGGAAGAAGTTGACTGTGGAAGTAGCATATAGCAGTAGTATAAAGGAAGTAGTTTTCTGAAGAGGTAGCACATAACAGTAGCATAGAGGAAGTAGTTGACTGTAGAAATAGCATATAGCAGTAGTATAGAGGAAGTAGTTGTCTGAAGAAGTAGCATATAGCAGTAGTATAGAGGAAGTAGTTGACTGTAGAAGTAGCATATAGCAGTAGTATAGAGGAAGAAGTTGAATGTAGAAGTAGTAGCGGTTGGTAGCGTATGTTGAGGTCGTTGCTATCGATAGCAGTAGTTGGTAACAAGATAGTATTGGTCAAGTGTATTGTTTTTATCAGTGGTAATGAGGAAAATTGTTTAAAAGAGAATAAAGCCCTGAGTATTTTAGTTCTTAGGCACTAAGTAGCAGTAGCAGCAGCAGCAGTAGAACAACTAGTAGTATAATTTATCATCATTGGTAGTAGTAAAACATTTGTAAGGGACTGACCATTTGATATTCTGTTGGAGGTGGAGGGGGTGGGGTAGGGGTGGAGTAGGGGTTGGGAGGAAATTGATGATGTGAGCTGTTGCAGAACAATAAAACTCTGTTGGAGATTCCTATACGTTGCATTCGATACCAGGAAGAAGTTAAACGAGACCTGT